TGCCTCGGGCTTCCTGTAGTCAGTGCTGGTCAGTTTCAGCAGCAGCTGACTTGGGGACGCCTGGGGCAGAGCAGCTGGGGTGCTGCTGGGTTGCTCCCCTGCCTCGCTGCCCGAGCCCCCCCGCGGCTTTGCAAAGCCTCGGGGAAGCCGGCGGCGGAGCAGCCCAGGCGCGCCTGGGCTGCCTCGCTGCCCAAGCCCCCCCGCGGCTTTGCTCCGTGTCTTCCTGGTCTGCAGACCAGGGAGATGCGGAGAAAGCCCCGGAGTACACGGGCGGCAGGCCCATTCGTAAGTGCGGATCCGACGTAAGTCGGGGACTGCCTGTATAGCAATGAAATGACTAGCTTGAGAATTGTATCCATGTCCATACTGTTACAATATCCTACTTAAAATAGACTTGTCAATTTAGTTTAGGCCCTAATGTAGGTTTTGAGGATTTCTTAATGGAGTAAGACACCATGTAACAAGATTTAATCAAAGCTTAATTGTAAACATTATCTCATGCTGAGGTGAAGCCAAACAAAAACTTGAAGAAGGTGCATTAGAAGTAGTAAGTGATATAGTACTAACAAAAGCAGAACTGGCAATTCTGTTTTAATAGCTGAACTAAATAAAAGCAAAATATCAACAGCATAAATAATATAAGTTAGCTTAATAGAGTATGTCTTAATAGTCAGAGGAATTAAACAAGGTATGTATTACTGTTTCTATAGTGACATTAGCTCTTTAGTAGTAAAAAAGTAATAACTCACTCTGATGTAAGCATTCTGAATTTCTGATAGTTCTTTACCAAGTGGAACAACACATTTTTCAATTTGTCGTGCATGAGAATAAGGCCGAATATCTGGGGAATCTTCAGAACACAGCTCTATCTGTGCTATCAATAGGTTGGAAATAACTTCCTGTACAGCCTATGAAGAAATGACAGGAAAAGAGTATTTTACATCATGTATTTTAATGTCATCTCAGTGCTCTATATCAAGGACATTGTGAATGTTATCTTCATAGGGCCTGTAAAACTATTTGAAATAGCAAAGAAACATTACCTGTAGTGAGAGATCTGTAGACAATTCATTTTGCAGCAGTCTTCACTATAACTAGGAGCTCTGATTTATTATTTCAGCCATTTTAAACATGAAATAAAACAATGTGTACAAAAAGTAGTCAAAAAATCCCCTACTACATCATGTACATAGCAAGTAGAATGTTCATTAAAACTAGAGATGTTAAAATGTGTTTATTTCAGTAAACATATAACTGCTAAAAGGTTATACGCAGGGGAGGCTTTTAAGCCGACTCCCCACGTGTACCGGTTCCCACCTACACCCCAATCCGTGCTGCTCCCTCTGACGCAGAAGCAGCAGCACCAGGAGGGTGGGGGTAACAGCTCCCCAGGAACCGGCACTTGTGGGGAGGTTGCTTAAAAGCCCCCTCCCCGCTGCCACTGATAGAGGCGGGGGAGGGGGGGGGCGGGGGAGTTAAGAATCTGTGTGCACCAGTGAAAGTTAACCAATGAGCCCAGGCTCATTTACATGTTTATGCCATCACTTCCCTAATTAAAACAGTTATAGAAAGAGAAACTACTTAATGTAAGTTTGATTAATGTTATCTTTTGAGTTAGAACTATTCTATCACTATTCCCTGTTTCTTCTAATATTATTTAGGAGTTGGCAGCATAACATTAACACTAGTATTGAAGAGCAACACTAACAAGGCTGCAGAAGCCACTTCATCTGACTAGGATCATGCACCAATCAACAAACTGGTGCTGCCAAGAGAGCAACATTCACGTGTTGATGACTTTTCTTTGTAAAAAGATGAGTGAAGGGGAAAAAAGGAGGCTGAAATACTATGGATGCAGAGCTCACCATACAAAGCATGCTAATGTGGAAAGGAGACCCAGAGGAAAAGGATGCAAGCAAAGGGGTAACAGCAATGAGCTACACTTCATATGGAAACTGCCATTACAATACTAACCCTTATATAAACACAGATATGAGTCTTAATGTTTCCTTACATCAAATAAGCAACCTCTCTGAAGTGTTTTAATCAAAGATTTCTATCAGAAAACGAATATAATTTGTATAATGTGAAAAGGGCCACCACAAAGTAGGAAGTGTCGTAAACTTAAATTTCTCCTTAAGCAATCTTTTAAGGCTAAGTTCTCTTGGCATATAATGGTTATTTATTGTGATTTCCTTCTTCTGTTATAGTGTTTTATCTAATGCCCTCAGGTACGGGATAGTGTATCAGGAGTGTTGTTACATGTGGGGGGCTATCACTACTTGCAACAGGGTTGTTGAAGTACTGTCACCCTAAGCCAGATTGCTTTGTTTCTTTTAAATCCCAAAATGAACTAAGCATCAGGAGACAGTGAGAAAAGACAGAACCTTCCTGCATTTCCAGATACAGTGTATATGGGCTAGAGAAAAGAAAAAACTGAATAGTACCAAACTTAATTCCAGTACTTAATTTTTAAGTAGATATAATTTGGAAAACTTCATAAGGAAAACACTAAGTTTTATTTTAAAGATTAAGGTGCCTAACTGCCTTAGACTCTGAAAATTCCAGCCATCGTTCTCCAGACACATCACGCCAGAGTAAAACTTACTTAGAGTGAAACAAAATACAGCAATGCAAATGTATCATGTGTTTTTTAAGCATGCTAAGCACTTCACTGTACAAGAGGGGCTTTGCTCTGGAGAGTGTGCAGTCTAATTTTAGATAATATATGGAACACTTCACGAATTTGCATGTCATCCTTGAACGAGGGCCATGCTAATCTTCTCAGTATCGTTCCCTTTTTAGTATATGTGCTGCCGAAGCGAGTAATGAAGGGATAAATGTAGAAAAGGCAAAAGTTATAGCAATAGGAGTGCAATTACACAAAGGGTTCTGTATAGCATAATGGAATAATCCTTATTTGGTGCATTTTAATAGCTTTCACTGTGTTCCTTCATATGCAAACTGGTACTACAACTAGCTACTCAGTCCACTAATGCAGCACTTGGCTTACCTTTGTGTCACTGCCTGGTGTGGCACTTAGAGCCAAGACTCGAAACTGGGTTGTATATTTGCATAGTTCTCTCACAACCTGAGAAAAGCAAGAGATACATTAATATCCGTATAAAAGTTCTTATTTACAATGGTTTACATCTGGGAAAAATTACAACTTAAAACGTTCAGAAAAGCATTCTCCACCAAGTTAGTGCCTACCCTAGAAACAGAATCCAACAATGACTGTCAATCCCTCATTCCTTCCCCCGCCTCCTTCGCTACATAGATTACGTGCAATACCTTCCAGAGCCAAGTGGAACCAAGAGTCATTTTTCCTCCAAGGTCCAAATGTATAAGTTCAAGGTATAGTCAACGTTCAGGAAAAATAACAATAGTCCATTGCATTAAAAGATTTTTGGAGTCCTTTCAAAAGTATCTGGTGGTCTGCCTTTGGCTCGCGGGCTGCCTATTGACTGTACTAGAACTATTTGGGTAAGCACTGAAATACATTATTACTGGATTCAGCACGTGGATTTAAGCATATTAGCCAAATAAGTTGCCAAAAAGGAAATCTGGAGAGCTAATCTGAAAGCCAGTATGTACAAACTAGGTGCACAACTGATCTCAAATGATGAAGCACGAACAAGGAGCTGCACTAGGTGGCAAGAGCCATATGAACCCACTTGCACCCATCTGCCTTTTACAGGCAGTCCCCGGGTTACATGGATCCGACTTACATCGGATCCCTACTTACAAACGGGGTGAGGCAACCCCGCACTAGCTGCTTCCCCCCAGCAGACCAGGGAGACTCGAAGCTAGCGCCCCTCCTCCCCAGCAGACCAGGGAGACACGGAGCGGCTTTTCTCAGCAGACACCTCAGCTTGAGAAGAAAGGATTGAGGAAAGTGAGGTGTGGGAGAATAAAACTGAGCTCTGGAGAAATATTTGGCTAGAGTTTCCCCTACAATATGTACCAGTTCCGACTTACATACAGATTCAACTTAAGAACAAACCTACAGTCCCTATCTTGTACGTAACCCAGGGACCGCCTGTACTGTAAACTTGATTTTATGGCAGCTGGGAAAATGGCAGGCTGTTCCTTTGAAGCCATCCATATTCAGCTCATAAAGGCAGTCAATATGCAACCGATGTACAAGCCTGCAGGATCAAGCAGCAGCAGCCTGCCAGCACAGGCATCTATTCTCCCATAGCACTTAGCCAAGATAATGGGATGCAGGTATAGTTTTGTCTACAAAAGTCCACTTTTGTCGACAAAACCCTGTAGTCTAGACACACCCCCAGGCTGCAGCAGGGCTTCCTCCCTGTTCCTGGCTACTAGCCTCAGCCGGTAGGGCTTCCTTGCCTCAGCTGCCAGCTCGCTGGCCAGACTCCATGGCCCCAGGCCACTGGTCCTGCGGTCTGCCAGTCACTGGCAACCTCTGTGGGTCTCTGGTCATGCAACATCCATTGTCTTGCCAGTCCACAGATGTTGCCTGACCAGAGAGTCACGGACCATAGAGGTTCAACCTGTAGTACATTAGTTTGTTGCAAATTTCTCAGTACATAACATGTTCCATAACTTTCAAGTCAAGTATTGATTGCGAGAAATTTAACCAAGGTATGTCAATGCATTTTTCTCTGCATGAGACAAGAAAGTGATACGTCAACACTGGTCAAACTGGGCTCAGAATGTAGTTCAATTTAAATAAAGCTTTTCCAGAAATGTGGTTTAGTTTGTAATCTCTAATTTTGGTGCCACTGAAGTCTCCCATTTAAACTTTTAATTCCTTAACAATATGAGCCAGGCAGAATGCAGGAGAGTGTGCTAATAAACATGCCCACTCCCTACGGAAAAGCCCCACTCTACAAATGCATTTTTAATTTCTGACAATCTAAGTTTTAAAAATTTATTTCTGAACAGAAAATGCAGTTCTATACACACCACATAAATTGCTTCTCTCTCCATTCTTGCTGGGCATAATTTATCCATTACTCATATAAAGGCATTATAAACCATAAAATAATTATCTTTGTTAATTTCTTACAAAATCCTCAGTTTAAGAAACTGTAGAGCCATCTGCTTACAATACAGTTTATTTAAATAAACAACGATCACAAAAAGAAATGACTCAGAGGGTGGAGTTAACATTAGTCCTCCATTACCTGGCAGTAGGCATGGTTTCCAAGAGCTTTGTGGGCTTCATCAATAACAAGACACTTTATTTCTGCAGCAGGACAGGTTCCACGAGAAAGATCATTTACCATTATTTGCGGTGTAAGAAAAAAGACCCTCTTATTGTGCCAGATTTCCTTCCTATTGAGAACCTG